GACACTTAACATTACTTGCAGAATAATAGCTTGGCAATATACTGGTACGATAGAGAACATCGAGCCTGATATAATTAGCGTAAAATTACGGAAATAATTACGCAAATTGACGTAAATCCGTCACGACTCATCTTAAATAGTTACATATTTATTATCGCGGTCAAGAACATTAGAGCTTCCTAAAACAAACTCACTGTAACACATATATTTAAAGCATTATCGTAATTGATATAATTAGAGGTATCCAGAGTAAAAGTTCTCTCGTATAGCTAACGTAACGTGGGCACGGTTTCTTATAACGACCGTCCCAGACAAACGGCTCGAAATTTAACTTGATTTCAGGCCCGCCATCGACGCCAATAATCGATCAGAATCTCATTACTCCTGTGCAATGCTCATAAATTCTCCTTCTTGCGGCAAAGAAATCAATGGAAAGTATAACAGAACAAATTTCCGTCGTCTATTTCCTTGTCATTTAAGATAGCTGAGTGAAAAGCAGTTGTGGTGAGACTGTGAACAACAGTGAACATCGCCCCCGGCGTATTTCATAGTTCATTTTATGCCGCACAGTCACCGCACTACATCGAAAAATTAAAAGAAATTAAAGTATCGTCATGTCATCGGCAAATAAATTGGGTTTTCAGTGCATGGAACTCATTTATGATGAATAATTGGATCAACACTGCAGAGTTTCGCGGGAAGACGGCCGTCGGTACGTCTAACTATAACATAATAATGATGCTCTCAATAACACAGATAACTTCTAGCTAAAGATAACTGACATTCCTCAGAATTTCCAGATCTCACCTGGAAATTTAATTTCCACATTCATTTTCATCTCATTGCAATAATTCTTGACGTTTGGTACTTTTTCTTGCAGAAATACCCTAGAAATTTGTATTTTTAACGCATTTTCTCATTTATGGAAAAAATACCCTATTGTGCTCGTCAAAAAATACCCTATTGTGTCCGTCTGTCCATGACTTCACGTTTTCGTCGACGAGAATATGCGCGCTCTGTCACTCGCTGCAGTGAGTACTGAGTTATATTTTCTGTCGGTTTTACGTGTCCGAGATAGGAGCTGGAGAAGTAGTAGGATTTATGAGTCCAGAATACACATCTTTTTAAGCTATAAATATTTTGTAGTCAAATTTCCTCGGAATTTCATGCAGATCCTAACAAGATCGTGTGAGCAGCAGATCCTAACAAGGCCGTGTGAGCAGCAGATCCTAACAAGGCCGTGTGAGCATCAGATCCTAACAAGATCGTGTGAGGAGCAGATCCTAACAAGGTCTTGTGAGCAGCAGATCCTAACAAGGCCGTGTGAGCAGCAGATCCTAACAAGGCCGTGTGAGCAGCAGATCCTAACAAGGTCTTGCGAGCAGCAGATCCTAACAAGGTCGTGCGAGCAGCAGATCCTAACAAGGCCGTGTGAGCAGCAGACCCTAATAAGGCCGTGTGAGCAGCAGATCCTAACAAGGCCGTGTGAGCAGCAAAGGATATCCCTATAGCCCTCGTCTGAGGTCCTTCTGACCATATAGCGCGGTTCAGGTTCGGTTTGCAGTGAACAACGCAGGCAAGTGTAGGCAACTTGATGTACCTATACTTGCTGAGGCAGTGCATTTGACGGATGTTTGAAGCATATTATTACCTCCCAATCTCTTTATCGTCACCAGAAGTGCTAGAGAAATCAAGAAGAATTATATTGAGGTGGACGCTTGGAATAAATGCGCACTAAAATTTTTTTGAATGAGCAAATGAAAATTTAATGTTTTAAATGCGAATAGCATTTAGGAATGCAAAAAATACAGGGTTGCGTATGATTGATTTGAGGCCTGAAATCCACGCTCACTCATTACTGGGATTGCTTAATTTTTTATTAATTTATAGCCTAATTAAGAGCTTTGAGTTTAATTAGGTCGGTGCATGACAGGTTGAAATAACAGACAACGATATCCTGCTTAAAAACCGCAATTGCAGTCATTAATAATGTAGTGGGGACAATGTCAACCTATATATAATGTATACTGACCCAATGATCAGGAAAACCAATGGTCCAAGTAAAGCACTTTATTGCTCACATATCATATTAAGACTTTCTTCATTCTTAAGGAACTTAAAAAAAAATAATTTACAAGGAGCTTGACAAGCAGGCAACGATCAATCAGCCGTTTACCCGGATAAGCTTCACGTGACTGCTCTAGAGTCCACTTACTTTCCTATCCGTAATATCTAATCGATATTCCGACGCTCTCTAAAATATTCATACAGTTCTAATTCTCATTTATTTCTAAATTCTCAACACACATATACTTATATATTAGTACAAGTTCAATGTTTGATCCGTAAAATACCAGAATCTCTACACGAATAGTCAAGTATATTTGCTCATGAACATACGCGCTCTTCTAACATGACGATCATCACTTCGCGTTCAGAGGCGAGTTGAAAATTTTCTCAAACAAGCAGGTTACGTTGAACACGGCCTTGGTATGACAGGTTTAAATAATAGCCAGCAGCATCTCATGGGAAACGCCGCTAAAATGAAGCCGTGTTGCTTCTCCACCGCCATCACTCTTCTTTACGCCTCAATGCGGACTTAACATTTTCTGTGCATGTTAACTCGGCCGCAATTTTCTTGATCTAGATTCGTGAAGCACGCGAATATTAAGACATTTTGAGAAGAAATAAAACGCTTATTTGAGAGCTTACTTGCTCCCACACTTAATTTGTCCTAGATATCTCGGAATGCGAACAATGGAATCTTAAGAATCTTTCGAGCATTCGATTTTTAGGCTTCCCTTAATTCAGCGCAAGTTTAGATTCCTGATATCGTTGCCTGCTCGTTCATAAAAGATCATTTTCTAGTTTATTGCGTTTCTGCAAATATAGAAATGTGGGATTTTTTATCGTCTAGCATTTGCATTAAAAATTTGTATTTTCTTTAGAAATTAGAACGGGTCGAATGTTTATGTTGGTTGGGCCCAATATATGATTGAAAAATAACAATGGACACTAACAGGCCCCAAAAATTACCTGCAGTTCATAAAAGTGCGATGCTATGAATTTATTCTACTATCTTCACTCGTTTTCTGTCCAAAAATTTGAATTGCGGGGATGCCTTTAAAATATTCCGTGACATATATAAATTGCGTTCAATGTTTGTATAAGTTGCAACTTGCAAGAGAATCATAAAAATATCGGAATTCTTTTGGCTGAGTTTTGAAAATTTTAGTGAGAAACCTAAATACATTTTAAAAAATACTTACTATAGATTTGTATGATATTAAAACTGTAGTGGGCTCAGAGTTCATCAGGCCATATTCAGCTGGTCGCCGATTCATGATATCGCAGAATTTTCACATCTTTTTGTGCTTCAAACCCGCTGCACACTGCCTGAATCCTAGTCGTCTGAATTTCAACCACGTAGCCACCTTGCAGACTAATTTATTTTAATTATTTGTATAGTAATTTTGAGAGCACATAAAATTAGCGGGTTTCCTAAGTCGTATTGATTTCAGCGCTTACTTTGTGTTGCAGATGGTGATGATTGTTTCATTTTGATGGTCGCTGTTATTCTCCGATTGGACTTTAAAGCAAGTACCCAATAATTTATATCATACAAACAAAAAAGTTATGATGCAGATAATTATTCAAAGTTCTCATCAAAGCTGGCAAGCAGCCGTTGATTTAATTCCGTTCATTAGTTATGCGGCAAGATGCTTTGGGACCATCAGAACAAACTTATATTATGCCCTTCATTTATTATTAAATCTATTCCCCCAGATTCAAGAAATTTTCTATAACTTACTCATGTAGGATCTAGTGAAGACGCTAGGTCAAAGCGACGTCGATAGAGCAGCAGGCATTTGTATACTAAACATACACGCGTGTTATTCCAGCCTAAGCAGCAACAACAGAGCCATTCGCCTTGAGTTCCAGCGATCCAGCGTTGACACTAAAGACGTGTACTCAATCTCCTGGTAAAATGGCACATTTCTCAGCCACGTCCTTGATGACGTCCTGGGCAACTATAAAATTAAGCGCTAATGAATTGCCATGTTGGTAGGATATTGATGTCCATAGTAGCACATTAGAAGCGGCCTTCACTGTAACCAGCATTAATATAACTATAGTGACTTCTGATGTGAAATTTAAGGCTATTTAAATTAATGCCATTGGTCGCTTCTAATGTGAAACCCGATTTTAAATGTTTGCTCAATTTCAAGGACGGTACAAATTTCAGGATAAAAATTGATTTCCACCTTACAACATTCACTACAAACATTCACTACAAACATTCACTACAAACATTCACTACTTTTTCACAACTGAACGGTTATTGATCTTCCATCACATTAATATCTAATTGATTATTTACCTCGCCCACAGTTTGCTGCGCTTGAGTGATAAAAGATCAAAAGTTGAAATTCAGTTCAATGTGCAACACACTAATTAAAAATTAGCAGCCATAAAAATTTCGATCGAAAATTATAGGCAGGATGAGCGATAAATTTTAGATATACAGACAAAATTCCAAGTAATCGCAATAATAAACTTCATCTGATTATTTTACGCTGCCAGGATTATCTATTTTTATTACTACTTAGAATTATGAAAACTAATCGCATTCAAAAAGTTGACCTGACTTTGTTTCGGTTTCGCTTTACTAATACTTTTGTATTGAACCCGGCAGCTTAGCAGCCGGAAAGAGGTTCATAATTGTTATTACAGCCAATCTGGAGAGTGCGATAAGAAGAGATTGAAGTCCAGCGTTGTTGATGTTAACTGATGAATTGCATGTTGCTGATGTTAACTGATGAATTGTATGTTCTGTCTCTTATACACATCTAGATGTGTATAAGAGACAGAATCCATACAATGAATCCGTACAATGAATCCGTACAATTAATCCATACAATGAATCCGTACAATGAATCCGTACAAAGAATCCGTTTAATTAATCCGTACAATGAATCCGTTTAATTTACCCTGACGAGTCAGGGTAAACTGAGGCGACAAGGCGGGACGCTGACCACGCGACGCTCAGCAACGAAGACGAGGAGGGCGACCGACAGACCTGCGGCCAGCACACACATCACTCCCTGTAGAGGCACGTGTATACGGATAGGTAAATTAAATGAATAACATTCATATAATTTATCTATCTTAGTTGATTGCAATTTTAAAATGAAACTTAAGGAAACTTCGGTTTTAGTACGATATCTTTACGAAATGCAAGTTAGAAATGACATGGCTATGATGAAGACGTACGAAAAAATTTGAAAAAGCATTTATCATTAAGGTTAAATGGGAATTTTATAATAAAAATATATTAGGAAAACTTTCAAAAATGATTGTTTCTTGTTATGGAGGAGCACAATTTTTTATTAAAATCAAAGTCATCAAAAAGGCGTTACTACATTGCCAGGTAATTTTCTTTTTCTTATTCAAATGTTTTTTTTACTCCAGTAAAGTAATTTCACACCGATGCTCTGCGTAACATTATCATTCTGAATCGGATGCATCACCTTATTACTTATTCCTCATTAATGCGATCTGCATAACTTTTGGTATTATCTTTTCTGTTGATCAAAAATTGTAGGTTTTATTGCAAAAATTTTGTAACTTACTATTTCAAAAATTATGTTGTCACTTGACCTTAATAAAACTTTTGAAAACTACGTGTTGAAAATTTTGCAGAATCATTTGGCTTACAGTTACGTAATTTTTAAATTTCTTCTATTTTTAGCGCATTTTCTCATTTATGGAAAAAATGCACTATTGTGCTCGCCATGTCCGTCCGTCCGTCTGTCCGTCCGTCTGTCCGTGACCTCAAGTTTTCGTCGACGAGAAAATGTGCTCTCTGTCACTCAGTGCAGTGAGTACTGAGTTATAGTTTTCACTTGTGGGCTTATCAGAAGACGTAAAATAATAACAAACAATCTTGAGATCCACGTACGCAATCACACCATGGAGATATATTATATAATTGGTTCACTGCTAGGGGTCTGTGTTATTACAGTTAATCAGATTAAAATTAAGCTTCATTTTATGTAAACGTTAGCATCATCAAGATGGTGAGAGCCGCATTATTAATTCGTGATGAAGCGAACGAAATTCTGGAGGGAATGCGCGATATGGCGAATAACTACTGTAAGTAGGGGTTAATAGTTTCGAAGTGCCTGAGGTTTTATCGTCGATTTGTATCGAAGATAATATTATTATTTTAAATCAACCCCCTCGAGACACACACACACATATATTAATGATATAAGTATAAAGTGAAAAATTATTACCCAATTGAAATTTTTGATAATAAAAAATAAAAAGAAATTGTATCAACCAAACATGTCATATTATGCATCCTACCGAATGTTAACAGATATATATTGAGGAAAAAAGGCAGTCTTCATTGCTAATAACTTGAGAAGAAAAAAAAGAGCAAAGTAGAATTCTGCCCTAGACTTCCAAACTTCGATATCGGCCTCTTCATTAAAATCACCATTATTGGAGTAGCGAGTTGCTGGTTCTAAACCTGCAAAAAATCCTACAATTTTTTGTCAAAGTCGACTTGGTGGTCGAGTCGTAGATATCAGCTAAATTGAAAAGTGAATTTCCAGGTTCGAGACCCTCAGCCAACTGTTAAATCTAGAATCGGCGACAGGCAGAACGTCACAATATTAAAATAATTATTATATTATTATTATTTATTATTATTATTATTATATTATATTATTATTATTATTATTTTTATACTTTATATCTTATATCACTACAATAATATTATATTATTTTATGGTATTACAACGCCCAAGGTAACGTTTTAATATAGCTAAAAACTCGACACCCTCTCACCCAAAGGGTCCGGATGCTGATGGGTTCGTTGATGGTGAACTTCTTTGGTTTATGCAGACATGAGAAATAGTCACCGAGTTCTCGCCGTAGCCAGAGGTTGTACAGATCTTGCTCCACGAGGCTTCTGATGCTGTGGGGTGAGGGTGTGGGGTTATTTATTTTTATTATTTTCTGTTCAAAAAGACGGTGGGGTTGCCATATGGCTGACCCTTCCATTTCTATGCCAATAGAAAATTAATGTATCATATTTTCCAAAAAGTGACACACTTTACGCACGTGTACTGATTCGTCCATGTAGTCGTGCCAAATTAGATTAAGAAGACGTACACAAGTGCAAAAGGTGAATCGCTAATTAATTGAACAAAATTTCCATTCACTCCGTGGGTGTATCTCTTTTTGACACCCACTACCTATACTTGCTTTGGTTTCCAGCTTTATTATTTTCATATAGAGTATACCCTACCTCACCTTGTTAATATAATGATGAATAATAATAATTAATAATGATTACTTAATAATTAATTGCACATGCTACACCTATTTCATTGAGTGTTGCACATGCAATCTATAGTCAAATAATATGTAAGTAAATCCTCTGCTTTACTCCACTGCGTGGTTGTGCAGAAAATACTGTTGCTTGTTACTTGAGGGCTTGAGTGTTGCTTGTTACTTGACTAGCAGTGACGAAGTACATGGTAAAAGATAATAAAGATTCCAAGTAGTGTATTTGATTGAAATATATGGACGGTGATGAATGTGAGTGATTAATTAATAAGAAAATATAATAGTTTTAAGATGATGCGCGGTGGGGCAATTGAAATATATTGACGGTGATGGAACGGAATGATTATTTAAAAAAAATACAAGGCTCAAGATGATGCATAGGCAATAGAATTTACTGCGGGCTGATGCGGTCCACGAGATTTGAGTTGCGCTGGCCGATGATGCTCAGCTGCAGTGGCCAGAAGGTCTCGTCTGCGAGCATCATGCCGCACTCGCCTGCACAGACCGCCTGCTTACTGACTCAGTCGAAACAATTATTACAAAGATAATTTCATATGAGACCTCATTGTTCAAGTTGGATAATGAAATACGGTTAAGTGCTTGAAAACGTGTGCGTTTTCTTGCGTTGCAGCGACGGAGATTGCGCTGAAGGTCCAATAGTTTTATAAGAATAACTAAATGCATGGTTTTTAGCGAATTTTCTCATTTATAGAAAAAAAGACACTATTGTGCTCGCCATGTCCGTCCGTCCGTCCGTGACTTCACGTTTCCGTCGACGAGAAAATGCGCTCTCTGTCACTCAGTGCAGTGAGTTATATTTTTTATCACTCACTGCAGTGAGTACCGAGTTATATATTTTTTAATGTCCACCACCATGCTTCTTGAAGTGGCCCGCCATGAGCGCGAAGCAGATAAGATCGTCGACCAGCAGAGCGGCGTCCTCCTCCATCACCGTGGCCGCGGCCACCCTCTCCATGTCCTCCATCTTGATCGGCTTGAGACGCGTAGACTGGTCGCGAATTTCCTTATAAATGCCATCTTGAGACCGCTGAGAAATATGAGTAGTAATTGTAATAGTAATTTTAATTGCATAATAGTTAAGTAATAATGTTAAATATAAAGGATCTCGAATTTTGATCCACTGCAACGGTGTATGCGACTGATTAGTTGCTTCCCTAAACAGCTTAGCTTCAGAGTTTATTGAAGGCCAAAATATGAAATTGCTGCGAATTAGCCACAAATAATAATTCACGTATCATAATCATTCATGTCAACAGCGTTCAATAACGAATCAAGTAAATATTTTTATGCACATAAACTTATTTCTACTTCGTGAATCTAAAGCAAAATTGAATCCAGGTCTAATTTGATAGGTGCTACATTTTTTGCTAACGTAAACTTGACGTAAACTCAATGAATTTTTAGAATTTCCTAACTAGCTCTTTAATTAGAATTTATTGGCTTGCTCTTTAATTAGAATTTATTGGCTTGCTCTTTAATTAGAATTTCTTGACTTGCTCTTTAATTAGAATTTCTTGAGTAGAATTTATTGACTAGCTCTTAAAAAATCTGATCCTAATTAATATCTAACATTAATGTGCTCAGTGAAAGCCGTGTCCTTCTCGAGCAGCATGGGCACTCCTGGGGATCGGACGAGGTCCTGTAAGGAGTTGATGTGTACAGGAACTCTCCTGACGGCGAGCAGGGATGTCAGTCCTGAGCTGTAGCTCCTCATCACAACGAGACATGTGACCAACCACAGCCATGTTACTGTACATACTCTCAGTCGACTGCTTGGCACGCCTGCATTTTATAAGAAATAATCGTAAGTCTCATTTTATAATTCTATACGTGAAACTCACACCTAATTTATTATAAAATCATAATTCAATAATGGACAATGCATTTTTTTTAAATAATCACTTTTTACGATTGGAGCGCCGTTAAAAAGAACAAACTCCTTATAATCTTCATCATTCAATACCAAACACGAAAATCAAACCTATAATTCAATGTAAAATTTTGGTTGACCCTGAAAGAAGAACTGATTTGTAAGTCTCATTATTAAATATCTATCGTATCACTCAAAAAAATAGTTTGACAATAAAATTCTACTTTGACATTCGATAATGCAGTTTTAAAACCGAAGCTATAGTTTTTTCTCTTACTCTGTTGCATGAGGATCTCGTACAATGTCCACATGGATTCCCGAACAAGTACAATGATCTCCGTGATTTTGATTCTGAGCGAGAGATGAACATTGGATTCATTAGTGGTCTTGAATTCTTTTCCAGTTTTGGCTTTCATTTTCTTCCGGAATATTACTAGCCGTTTTTGACTCTGTGCCTCAACGGCGTTTGAAGGACTCCCATCCCGGCTTCTTTCAAGCATTAGTTTCTTCTCAGATAGATTAATGTTCTCTAGTGTTTTTAGGCTGTTCAGAAAATTATCACGATTCTTATTATCTATTTTATTTGATTTTGTTGTAAGCTCTTCACTTGCAATTGCTTTTTCTTCCCTGAAAGGAACAACACGTGTAACATTTTGAGGATAATTTTCACATTCCGAACTCTCATAAGACCTGAGTTCGCCTTTTGTTTTATGCGAGCTTTTTAAATTTTCACCAATGTGCTTATTTATTCGTAGGATAATTGGCGTGATTAACACGAGTCCTACATAACAACCAAGAACGGCAATCCAAACTTGTAGTTCAAGAGGCTTGAAGAAGCTCCATGGATCGTGTTGGGCCTGAGGACGTCTCACCAGGATGCGATAGTACCCGTAAAAAACAGGGTATGAAAATTTTACCACTTTTGCTCGAGCTTCTGTCATTCCAAACGGCCCCAGAGCAAGGTCAACTTCCTGGATATAGAAGTTATCTCATTAATCCTTATCTTTTGCGCTGATTATAACTACCATTGGATATTATGATCATAAGAAGTTTTTTAGAATGAAGGAAAGTTATCACCTCAAGAATATCGGGTGTTAGGACTTAGTGAAAAAGCTTGTGACAGTTCACACCTGACGCCTGACAGCTCGCACCTTACATTTCACGCCAGTCGCCCGTGAGTTCGCACCCTACAGTTTTTACCTGACACCTGACACACCTGACACCTGACACACCTGACACCTGACACACCAGACGCATGACCCACCTGGCGCTCCACCATGCCCACCATGCCGTTGTAGGAGCCGTTGGGTAGTCTTGTGCCCCACACGCCTCCCGCAGCAGCCACCCACTCGTACCTCACCCATGGGAAAAATGCAAAGCTGCGACTTCTAAAACTGTCGAATCAACTTCAAACAAAGTTATAAATATAAAACATATTTACTATAAAACCATTACCATATGATCCTATAGCCATTCGATTTCATTCTATTTTTAATGCTCAATTCTGAAAAATCCGGAAGGACATTTAACCAGTTTATTATTATAATCCACAAATCTTAAAAATTGAGGAATCATTTTTTCGCTTGAGTTTAAAAGTCTCTAATTCGTGTGTTCATTAATTTTAATTAATGTTAGTTTATTCATAAAATATGTTAATTCAATGAGTAAATTCGCTTTCTAATGCATTTGTTTAGTCTTATCCTTCTAAAATTAAAAAATTTTGCTTATAAGAATGAAAAGGATGCATGCACAAAATTTACTGATGAACGGATTATTATCCGAATCTATTGGAAACACACGTCATTTACCCATTATTCAATCTCGAACCATAATTATGAAAAATTTAACTCCGAGCCTCTTATATTTCGGATAAATGTGCTAAAATAATAATTATTTGTTAAAATAAAAGTTACTTGATGTTAAGGATGGGCGCGATGGCGTTCATCACATTGGCCAGCGGCCCCCTCAGCCACATGGACCCATTGACCCCCGCCACATGGAGGTGTGGCGAGCTCTGCGCCACAGCCACACGCACGACATCACTGCGTGCCAGATCAATGCGTGTGTGGCAAGGGTAATAGCAAAATTAATGCACGTGGCAGTAGTTATAGCAAAATTAATGCATGCGTGGCAGTAGTTATAGCAAAATTAATGCATGCGTGGCAGTAGTTATAGCAAAATTAATGCATGCGTGGCAGTAGTTATAGCAAAATCAATGCATCGAGCATTGATTTTGAAACCGATTTGAAAACCGAGCATCGGCGTAGGCAGAGCCAACATCTATAGGCATTAGTAGAGTTGCATTGGTTCGGAAAAATAAACTTTGATCAGCGATCAACATTTAGTTCAACACAATGTATGTCCTCCTTTTACACCGTTAGAGTTTTCAAAAGTTTTTTCGATGTGCAAAAGAAGTTTTGATTCTCTCAACGCACAAAGATTCCCCTGCAGAAATGAACTATTATCATTCGGGATTAATTGCTTTTTTCGGCTATCCCCCAAACGTTCATAACTACATAACTAGGCGTGCTGAATTGAAGTTAAAAATAGCCCGTTAAAAATAATTCAATAAAAATGACCCATCAAAAAACGTTGATAATAACACATTAATCCTCTATATACTACCTGACATGAGTAACCGGAGCAATATTGTCACGCGCCTACTTCCCAAAAAATATAACTCAGTACTCACTGCAGTGAGTGACAGAGATCGCATTTTCTCGTCGACGAAAACTTGAGGTCACGGACAGACGGACGGACAGACAGACAGACAGACGGACATGGCGAGCACAACAGTGCATTTTTTCCATAAATGAGAAAATGCGCTAAAAAGGATACGTTCTAGTGAGCGCAAAATGACTTGCACTGATGGTTGCCGCCACGTACGACAACTTTAAAATGTTCTCTGTTGCGTACAAACGTCCTCAGGTTGCTACACTTAATAGTTTACGTGTAATTTAAGTTGAAAGTTGTGTTCCCGGAGTGTGACATACGGCGGTAGAAGGTTAAGAAAATCTGCTGAAATAAATTCGTTAAAGATAACATTGCAAAGAAAGTCACGTTTCCCACTATTGAAGGGCCCAATCTGGAGATTCCAGCACCACTAAATGCGCTTAAAAATGTACGGCTCTGGGAGCTGAGGTTTTATAATTGCCGCAATTACGATGAGTCCCGAGTTGTGCAGATTCGTATAATTACAGTATTTTAGAATGTGGGTCATATATGTGTGTTTAATACTGAGCTATGCAATGATTTTAGCAGGGTGGTCTGGCGATCTCCTTAAGAAAGGCGATTTAGGGAAGAGATTCTTTCATACAACTTTGAGTCTTTGAGTTTTCACTTGAAGCATGCATGGTCTGTACTTCTTTGAAAAATTTTTGCTCCCTTCGAATACAGTTCAATGTTGCGAGCAATGTTATACTGGGCCAGTATAACTATTTCTGTTGTCGGCACCTACCTCAAAATTACAAGCAATTTCTTGTAATAATCAATTTTCTCTAATAAGGCTACCTTTTATTAAAAATATAAAATTCTAGGTATGCAGAATTCAGTATTGTAGACTTTTTAAACTATTATTATTTCAGAAAGTCCGGCACTGCCCATATTTTACCCAATCCTCGTATATTACAATTGAAATCGCAAGATAACTTTTCTACAAAATCAAATCTTATACGGTCGTTCCCTGTTACATGCAACTCGCTGCATCATGAGAAAATATAATCGCAGCGTGGTTTTAAAACACTGATTAGTTTTTTAGGTTTAAAAAATTAATTAAAATAACCTCCCACCTTTCACAAGAGCAAAGTACTCCGGCTCCAAAGTCATCAATAAACGCGAACACAGCGTAGATAATAAAGTGTATTTTCCTCATTTTCAGAATGTATCAAAATAATCGAAATTTCACTGTATTGTGAAATGAAGCAATTAGACGAGACGCATCTTTATTCTAATTTTTTAATGTTACTTAGGAACGTGATATATATTATGTGAGGAACTTAAGCTGATACCATATAGTGTTTCCTCATCCACATATTTGGGCAAGTGGAGGAACATGGATTGGAACAGTCGCATATATACGTGTACATATCAATCGCTGCAATGGCGTGTCATCAGTCATTATGATGGTCAGACATCTTGTACCAAAGAAGAGATATTCGATACAATTTAACTCGTCCAACTGCTGTCTATTAAATGACAATTTTGTCTAAACATTTTCTAAAGTATTAAGCGGCAATTTTGTGTAACCATTTTCTAAACTCATATTTTTTTTAATAAAATTTATCATAAATTTTGTAACATTTTGGCGCGTTGACTCAAACTGATTTAAAAATTTTTAGTTCCCCTGCTGGTTTTGATTAAACATCATGATCAATTATTTTATATTCAGCACTGACATGAAACTGATATGATTCAATCCGTAACTTCTTAAAATTCTCAGGACTTGTGCCAGTTCACTAAACGACTTGGCATCATAATAATCGACATCATTAAACTCCAACTCATTATTCACAGTGCCAGGCACCTCCACACAGGAGTGAATTGTCGGGCAATACGTAAGTCGCACTGCAATGTAGGTTTCAGGCAAATTCCTGTAACCGAACGGTTTTTTAAATAAAATATTCCGAAATATATGGAAAAGTTGAAAGAACTGCGCTCGCTCATAAGTTGTGAAACAATTTTTAGTGAAATAATAATTAGTTTAAGCAGAGAATAATGACTTTTGAGAAAGTTATTGGGGCAAACTTAAAATATATTTTCATCGAAATTCAAGAAGTGGGCGGTTCCCTGCTGTTCAAGAGTTACGATCGGTCGTTGATCAGGTGTGCCGCGACTTGTCAAAACGACAGTTTAGCCTCATTCCCTCTTGAGAATTATAAACTCTTCATGTCTTGAGAAGGGACTGAGGGTAGCCTTATTTCATCCAAAAGGATTACGAACTCCTGCAGCAGGCTATACATTGGTGTTTCAATCGATCAATACATAGACACAAATAAACAATGTTCACGATAAGTTTCATTGATTACTCCTAGCTTTGTAATGCGCTGGGCAGGAAGTTGGGTGCGAGTGAATTCATAGAAGCGTGTGGTGATAATCAACAATAATGTGAAGCATATTTTGAGACAGAAAAAATAGTGACAAGAAAAAGAGCCAATATTTTCCTATCAGTACCCAAAAGCGAGGTTAGCCGAAGAATAAAAGTCTTAGTCATTGTTGGTATTTATAAAAAAAGATCTGTTGATTAAAAACATAGTACATCGCTCTACCGCATTCCTATCTGTTCAACCAACAATGCTGTTGAATGTCATCAAATACTTGCTCGGTCCATTAATACTGGACTATTGCCAGCAGAAATTAATCATTCCATTATCATATGCCATTTTATTTCTTTGATCAACTGGAATTCACTAGCCGTTGTTTGTCCCACGCTCCATCACAAATTCTCCTTAGTGAAATCCGATTTTTTTAAAGTTCTTATAACTTTTGTTCGTATTTAACAAATTGAATTTTAACTGAAAAATTTATTTGAACTTTAGTTAGAACATGATTAATTGTGTGTAAGATTTTCCACGAGAACTTCGACAAGCGTTGGAGGTTCTTTAAAATGTACGGGAACAAATTGACTAACAACGCAGCTCACATCATTAGCGCCAATATAACCGGATAGCTGAGCATATGTGCTATGGATGAATTGCATAAATAAAATTTTTATTCAGTTTTTTATATTTTAGTTGCTTTGTTTTATAATGTAATCATTCTATTCGTTTCTGTGATGCGCAATCGATGAAGTATTGTATCTCGTGTCAACAAGAAGAGGTCGTTATCTTTAAGTGGTCTGGAATGGAGATTGGGGAGCATGCAAATTTTATGTCAATGTCTCATTTCTGTCTTTATGTCAATATTCAAAAGGAATCGAAGAAGTTAAATAGTCGTCGCGGCGCAGATTGATTAGTTTACTTATACGAAGCACATTGTCGCAGCTGAATAAAAGATCCATTTCATTATAATAGAGGCTCTTCGTTGAATATTTATTTAAGCCCAGGTACTCCTCAGGTCGATTAATGCCCGTCGGTCATGACATATTTCATTCATGAAATTTGCATCACAACTACCGTAAAATTCATTAGCATAGTTGTTATAAACTAACAATATGGACTGCAGATGCTTTTTATTTTTTTTTAATTTGTCGTTGAAATTTGGTACAGAGTGGCAAACAACAACGGGAATTTTATCCAAATGAGTCTGGATTAACTGCCATCAATGGACAAATTTTCATTTGAAAATCGAAGAATTATTTCCCTCAGCATGCATGCTACATTGTTAATGTAGGAAATAAAACAATTATTTTAGCTAATTATTATGATTATATATTTTGATATTGTTATATATCAGCTCTAAACTGCATGTTCATATTATTATTAGTAGGGCGCGTAAACAAGGACCTTGCACTTGCTCTGCGTCAGGGCCGTGAACATTTTTTTGAATTTCAACGCCAATTTCACAGTTGAAAATAATATTTGTCAATTTCAATCTGGTTTATTAACTGAATCTTATAGCTACCGTAAAATTGGAGCATTTTGATTAAAATTAATAGCCGCAAACAGATCATGAAAACTTAGCATCTCTATTCACGTGTTGCTAAAATATAGTGATGGAGTTGGTCAACTGAAAGTTGATTTCTAAAAATGATTACACTTGGGGGCATTTTCTCGTCCATTAATTTTTTAACCAGTTCGAGATTTTGGCAATTAATGATTTTTAAAATCATTAAAAATTATTGATTTTTAAAATCATTAATTTTCTAATTATGATCTTGGACAATTCCGATCTTGATATGTTTACCCAGCGAATAAGCGAGCTTATTTATAATGTTTATAAATAGAAATTTTTAAACGATCGAAAGACAAGTGCCACTTTCGGATCGAATACATTCAAAAAGGCACTAAATAAAATATGGTAAAATATTTCTTTACCCGTATAATTGCGACACGTAAATACAACTCTCGAATTTTAATGAAAATGATCAACCTAGGACAAGGGCGGGTAATCGTTATTCCTTTATCACTTTATCAACACATAAAACTGAACCCATTAGGTATACGAATTTATAGCTTTGTTCCGAGATAGAAATATAGGTCAGAGATCTAAAGCGCCCTAAGTTATAGCTTTGACGAACGGTAGAATCATTAAAGCTAAAATAATAATTATAAATCAGCACCGTCAGTAGCTACGTGATCGTTTCAGCGGTAGCAGTTTGTCAAAATTTTGATGTTCAACGATTTTTGACGAGTAACTCGGTCTGGCTTGGCGGCGGTGGATTTCAACGGGCATTGAACTGGTGTACAATTGGATGACGCACTCGTACATCAATGCAAATTTTCAAAAGCCAGTTATGGCGCAAATATAATCTCCTACAATTGCTAAGTAAAGAATATTCCTATTAAATACATCGTAATTCCATTGAAAATGTTTCAATACAATCAGCAGTTCAAAATTTTTAGAAGACATGTATAATCAAGAGGGACGAAATTTACACAGCAGCGTTTAAAAATATGCCGCAATTTCAAGATCCTAGCTTGAATTCTAAAGCCCCAGTGGCGGAGCTTTGCGATTTGCGATATAAGCAACTTATTAATATAATATAATATTATTAGTAAACTAGTTTGATATAATATTATTCTCTAACTAGGTTATCTATCACTAAAATAAACTTTACACTCATGAATCATTTCATACTCGTATTCAGACAATTTCTATGAGGTATTAAGCAGTGATATGGATGCTTGAAGTAGTTATCATCATAAGTATCTTAGAGCTATATTATTATTCTATTTTTGAGATATTCGTCCATGTGAAATATCTTAGGCAATACTCATGCACAATTCTCATTTACATATATGTTATTTTATGTATTTCGTTGGGGCACAGCTCATGCTACATATTGCTGAGGGTTGAGAACTTCACGAGACGAAAGGTGAGCTACGCAGTCGCTGTCTAGGTGACAGGTGAGCTACACAGTCGTTGTCTAGGTGACAGGTGAGCTGCACAGTCGTTGTCTAGGTGACAGGTGAGCTGCACAGTCGTTGTCTAGGTGACATGTGAGTTAACAGTCGTTGTCTAGGTGACAGGTGAGCTACGCAGTCGTTGTCTAGGTGACAGGTGAGCTACACAGTCGTTGTCTAGGTGACAGGTGAGCTACGCAGTCGTTGTCTAGGTGACAGGTGAGCTACGCAGTCGTTGTCTAGGTGACAGGCGGCGATCATATAAATTACATATTTTCAGAAAGAAATTGACAAGACATTTTTTCCTACCATTAATTTTCATCTTTGCTTATCATGGCACATTACTGAATTTTTGAAACGGAATTTAGACACATGCATATATCATCATAAAAAAATCACAACCATGCGTACCTGTCACTCTCGAGATTATTAAGGAACTTATTTTAATGAAGGAAGTTATTTTAATGATCGTTAAAATAGTCACTAACTGCAGGCTTTATCCAGGGCGAAAACATGCGGTTGCTACTTTAGCAGAGGGCTTTTTAGAATGCAAAATGGTCCCGGAATGCTGCTATATAGAAGGCTACACCTTCAACAAATTAAATAGAAAAATCAATATAAAAAAGTTTTATAATGAATAAAATAAACAAATGAATGATTAGAAATAAATGTGTGCTGAAATTTTGCATTTAATTTTAAACATCGCGATGATATTTGAATGAAGTGATGAAGGTCGAAATAAGAAATTTTTTGAGATAATATGCAATAAAGCAAGAGGCGCTTTCCTTGCCTGACGGTGTAACACAAAGAATATATTTTACAAGCATATTATGTGCGACTCAGCCTTAATCCGACATAGTATTAATTTATATCAAGATTTATTATCCTCCAGTTCATCCATCTATCCCATAGTTAATTAAACAATCCTTATGTTGATCACACAGCACTTCAGTTCATCCTACGATCATTCAGTTCATATTTCTTTCCATGAATTAATTCTGCGATCATTCAGTTCCTCCTAAGATAATTCAGGTCATCTCACGATCATTCAGTTCATAAAACGTTAGATAAATTCATCGTACATTTTATCAGTTCATCATACGCTTTAGCAGTTGATATAACGTCCCGTCTGTTCATCGTACATTCCACTAGTTCCTTTTATGTTTCATCACTTCATCATACGATCATTAATTTCAGCATACGTTCCATCAGTTCATCTTACGATCATTCAGTTACGTTATATTACAAATCATTTTATCAGTCATTTAAATTATCTGTCACTCTGTAGACTCTGATATTTAAAATTAAAACTAATTTATCAATTATTCACGAGGTACTCCCGCGGCATTCGTAAACCAACAAAATTTTAGGCATCTTAAAGTATAATCTACTTACTGGTCACTCTATATAATTAGATAAATACGTACTCAAAACAGAAATACTATTGTTATTATTCGTTGTCAACAATCTGCTTTACTTCGTACCCAAATAACGACTTCAATGTGGCCGATCACAAATCTGCTTCTAGAGAGCAGTGACATGATCGCCTGGGAAAAAGCCACCTAGATGCACATTGAATAATATTTCTTTCTGAGATGCTACGTCTTAACGAACTATTTCGGCCTGGCTCCGGTGCTGCCTCAGATATTGGAGTGGAGCTGCGTTCCATTGCCCGACTTATAGGTTGTCCTAGAGCTCGGTAGGATGCTGGTCCAATAGCTGAAGTTCGGTATTGGGGAACGTTAGCAGCTGAATTATTGAGCGGTTGACAAACCTGAAGTGCTTCTTCATAACAAGGGGGCGAAATAAACCCTGCAGCGTTAGACCCCTCCGGCCAGCAACACCAGCGTCCTTCGAAGGGGTCGTCTGGTCTACGCGGCGGTAGAGGTGAAGGTCTGTAAACCACTAGAGGGGACGGGCTACAGCTATGGATGGTCTGAGGTATCGCTGAAGGACTGCGAAAAACTGACGCTGGTCGTGGCTGTTGCTGAGACGAAGAGACGTTGCCGTTTGCGTCTCGAGACGACGATGAAGAAGAGGGTGCGACCATGAGCAATGCTTCGCTGTACGATGGGGCGACCGAACAGTTCTCAGCGATGCTCAGTTCGATATCGTGGCTGTCAGCACTCACGGAGCTTCTCGAGACTCGGCGGTCTTCGCCTTCGTCGGGGTAGTTCACTCCGAAGAGCTTCGTCACCTGGACAAGTTCATGATCGTCAACTTACAGCGATTGAGTCATTATTTTCCTACCAAATATAGTCATGTTTGCCAAGCAAATGTGGACAGAAATTCATCCTGCAAGGCTCCTTTCCCAATGTGGGATAAGCGACAAACTAAATATAACTAAATATATGTGAATCATACGATACATCAGCTCTTGTAAGACCATGCGTGTTAGTCTGTGCAATGCTCATAGATTTCTTTCGGATTTAGCTTCTACAAAAAAATGTTGATTAATTTTAAAATTGATTAAAATTGAATTTATCTCATCGATGCACATGGGTACTCGCAAGTCGTTCAGTGTAGTCATAAATGCTTCTCAGGTTATTCGCAACAATAGATTTTGAACATAAAACTGCATTCAAATCAAGACAATATTAATTATCAACGGATGGAGCATTTTTTCAGATTGAAAACAAGCAAAATTTGCCTCGAAATGAGCATGCGCGGTGTTGAATTCTATCCACATCCTGAGCGGCCAGGATAGCACCAGCGCCGCCGTGATACCGAACACGACGGGGTGTACGTACCACGGCATCGCACCATCTCGCCGCACCAGCACCACCTGCAACATTTAGAATGTTACAACCACGAATTGCGTCTTTTTGAACTCAAATTGAAATTTTTGAAATATTTAAACTATAACTTAGTTTCTATTGAAGAAATATTACAATATTTTAAATGTAGACATCGCTAGTTAGTTTTTTTTAAACACAGCATAAAACATTTGAAGTGATAGCACACGAGTTACTTCTTGCTGAACATTAATTTAAATTTTTAACGGTTTAAACCGTAAGTTAGATATGTTCAGCTCAAATTGAAGCATTTAAAATGCTAGCATCACGAGTTGATTCTTGATAAAAAATTACCCATTTAAAGTGATTAAGTGTTTTAATCTTAATTACAACACTTCGTTCTAGTTGAACACAACTTTTTACGTCTCATCTCCATGTATGTGCCTCACCTCTCGTGATCAAAGACGCACCTCCTTAAAGCCAACATCGGTGAGGTCAAGTCCTTCTCTCATCTCCATGTATGTGTCCCAACTCTCGTGTTCCTGTTTGGTGAGAACGAAAAGCAAAAGATTAAGCGGGGAAGAAAAATGTTAAACAATTATTCATTCATTCATTCCACGAAGAGATTTTCGTGGCGTCTCGTTCAGATCGAACTTCGAGGGCACGTTACAAGCGGCTAAAAAAACACAAGATGATAAAAACAGATGACATCTATGCTAAAACAGAGGACATATGCCAAGACTGATGACGTCTATACGAGAACAAATAACACCTATGCTAAACCAGTAATATCCATGATAAATTAGATAACGGCTAGGCCTAAGATTCAAAGGCTCTACGGAAAAGTTCTGTTTTTAGGCGTCGACGAAACAACGTCAGCGAAGAAGCCGATGTCACCGATGCTGGCAGACCATTCCATGTTCTGGCCGCAGCGACCGGGAACGCTCTGTCGCCGACGGTGGACAGACGTGAGGACGGGACGACGAGGTCAGCCTTCGACGAGGAACGCAGTCGCCTTCTAGAAGGCAGATCCGACACGCGCTGTAGGCCTTCAGCGAGATAAGATTGTTCAGAGCCGTGATGGGAAGTCCGTAGAGTGTGGCATTGCCATAGTCCAGTCTGGTCAGCACAAGCGCCACCATGAGGGCCTCGAGGACCGGCCTCGAGAGACAGCGACTGATGCTACGAATTCGCCGCAGGATGCCAAAACAGGCAGCGGTTACTTTGGCAATGTGGTTGTTCATAGACAGTTCTGAGTCTAGCTGACTGCCGAGGCTGCGCACAGAGGATGAAGGTGCGACGAACTCGTCGCCCACGCGCACAAGGTTGGTTGGAAGCTGATGTTGGCGCCGAGCGGTCGCGAACCAAATAAATTCAGTTTTCGATGCATTAAGCTGGAGCCGGTTGGAACGCATCCAATCTGAAACGGCGTCCATGCAGGCAGACATCCGGTCTTGCAACGCTGCAGCATCCGCCGGCGCACAGTAGCCGTAGATTTGGGTGTCGTCGGCAAACATGTGCGGATTCAAGCTGTTATGTGCGGAATTATGTACGAAACTCGAGATGCAAAAAAGGAGATATGGAGATGAAACGAAAATAAAAGGAAAAGTTCATTCAGAATTAGTAGAAGTAAGACTTAATTTTAAAAAAAACTAACATAAAAAGTTTTTAACATTCGGCTCTGCGACAAGAATCAAATTTTCAATGTGGCCCTGCGTAGAAAAGTGTGCCCACTCTACTTTATAGAAGACGTATCTTTTTCGATAGCATCACAACTTGTTTTTGATAGCATTACAACTTATTTTCGATAGCATCACAACTTAATTGTTTTCGTGTAATCATGTCAACACGTGCGACAGGAGCTACAAATCTAACGAGGAGTTGCAGGACTCAATTACATCTTAGTAGCCCCCTGTCCCCCTAAGAGTTTTCAAGCTGATAGTATGTTGGGAAGAGAGAAAGCTACTATTAAGGGGAGCTACAACTTCCATCTAAATTTTCCTTGCTCAAATTTTCAAAGTATAAAATTTAGAAAACCACTGGGAAGCATTGGAACAATTTTGTACCATACAAATTTCACATTCCAAATAAACTTTGCGCTTGCTTGGGTCGTATAAAGAGTGAAGGCAATAACCCTCATGTATGAAGGACATCAATAATAAGACATTGAAGTGCTTGACGCCTCTCGCTAGAGATGTGATGTACTAGAGTCCAATTATACTCAAATCGAAATGCAGACTTATATTTTAAATTAGATCGATAGATCAATATTTCAATCACGATATTAAATAGACTTACAAATTTAATTATTAGATTCAGAAATATCATTCGCCCTTGATTTCAAGATTTGTCTTAAGATTAATTTGTATCTATGTTTTGTAATTAAAAAAATTATGTTATCAATGCATGATTTTCATCAAGCTTCCAAATCACATTTATTTGAACAGTTCAAAGATTCAAAGAAAGTAGATCCGCATTTCCACATGAAGTCAACGAGTCATTAAAACGTTTCTAGGCTACATTGAGTTGATAAAAAGTCTATTGCTCAATTTATGGACTAATATATGAAAAAATATAGATACTGTATACTCTTAAGCATTGTTCGAATATTGAGAATAATCTCTTGTCCCTTGAAATGAGCTCGCCTTGCACTAAATGAAACTGGGCAAAGGTTTAATGGCTGAAGAGAACTGACTTAATTTCATGGAGAGCATTTTTATACTTTAAATAAATATTACAAATATTCATGAATCACCTGGAAGAACCGTGTGCGCTGTTCTTCAAACTCCACTGAGGCTTCCAAGTTCGAGAATGCAAATCCTTTGGAAAACCTGCGAACATAAGTTCAGTCGTGAACAATGACCGCTGAAACTGAAGCGAGAAGTTACGAGCCTTCAACCGTTCAAATCTGCTAGCCATATTCTTAATATTTGAAAGAAACTGAATTTCTGTCTTACCGATGAAGCTTAGGCACAAATCTCGGTGGAAAGTAACACACTTTTCATTTAAGCCAACAGTATAAAGCCAACAATATAAATGATTGTCCTTAAGAATGTTACCCAGGAAATTATTGCACATGAATCCGACGTTTTCATAAAGACAGTCCTTATTTACTACGAATAACGGCATATGATATTCAATGATATTGAAAACCTGACTATTTTACTTGTACATATTTATATGTAAATTTGTGTTATATTTTAGTAATCATTTGATGTGTCGCAAATTTTTGAACTTGAAAAAATGAGCAATAAAAATAATTAATTTGATGTTTTAAATTGTATGGATTGAACCACTCGAATGCTTTAATTTAAAAATTAATATTGATATATTTGGGGAAAATTTATCTCTCCTAATGATTACCCTTCTTAAACAAAGAAGTTGTTCGATAAAAATTTCATAAAAAGTTTGCGATTGTGAACAATCGAAGGTCTTTGGCACCTTTATGTCAGATGTAAACTTAACAGCAACAATTTGCTGCCAGAGTTTATCTCGTCACAGCCAAGCTCCCGGAACAAGACAGGGAGGCTGTATCATGTGTAATATAAACAGTGGAAATTTTGAAGCTTTCACCCAACCTTGGAGCTAATGGTATGGGCATTCTTTGGAAGGACTAAATGAACGCAGACGGAGGCATGCGACGAGAAAATGGAGAAAACCAAAGCCTTCCTTCAATTCAAGAAGAAACTTTGAATCGTTAGTCAAATATTGCGAGAAATAATGAAGGGTTTGCCGGCCAATGTTTACATTTTCATCGATTTCAGTTATAAGCTTAGGATTTACGACAGATTTGTAAATTAATTTACTGTTTATTTTGACTGCCAATCGGAATAACGGAACAATGATGCTGAAATAAATAACAACGTCAAAAACAGAAATTTTTACAAAATTAGTATTGTAATTTTTGCAAATATTTGTCTTACGCAATGGCTATAACTACGGTCACGTGAAGTACTCCGCTAGATCTCGGCCGAAGCAATGAATCAGAAATCAGGATGCTCATTTCTGCTTATGGAAATATTTTTCCATAGTGCTTTCTTATGCAAAGCATCAGCAATATGATGGGTCAATAGGACATGCTGGTTAATATTGTTCTCGCTTGGTGATCAAGCGAGCATATGCACATGCAAGCTCCTATATATCCGCAACTTATATTCACTTATATAGGCCTCTCACATCCATGACATGAATTTGCAACCACGAGTGCACCGACTCCTTTGGTGTCGGTGCACTCGTGCTTGCAAATTGCTAAACACACACACAAGCACAAGGACACCTTCACGCATACATACAAATAAATGTATAAAAAACACACACAAGCACGACCCTCACTTCAGTTTCAGGAATGGGTAGCGTGAGAGGTTGACGAGCTTCTTGGACACATCCCTGACGCCGCACCTCGAGAACTCGAACCGGGACTCCGCCGTGCGCGAGTTGATGCGCTGGTAGAACACTTCGTGCTGCGCGAAGTCGTTCAGTGTTAGGAGAATTTTAATATTTATTCGCAATAAATAAATTGGTATGGGATATATATTATGAGTATTCGTTTTGGCGTTCGCTATATTCAGCTTTGAGCTGCCGGTAGGCATGCGTCAATGTTTTATGACCCAAGCTGAATCAGCCTGTTATTCATGGCTCCGTTAGCTTCCTCAGCGAAGCCACTGCTCAGCCTGCGGTTAGCTGCTGCAGCACTCAATTCATCCGTCTATGAAAGAGTAAATTTACTCACCGTGGCGTGAGTAAATCTAATACTTACTGTATCTACATTACTTATCGTAGATGCTGTGCCAGCCGAAATAGGCGCGTGGTGTTCGTCATCACTGGCAATAGGTCGTTGCTACGACGGCAATCATTTGCGATGAACTCAACGACTGTGAATGCTACTGCTGAGCATCGGCCTGTGTCGTCCCGTAGGCCCCAAAACCTGCTTATAGTGTTAGTGTCGATCGTCACTGTGTGCAGCTGTGTCGCCGGTTATCGTCTGGCTGCCTCAACATCCGTTCACTGAATAACAAGGTTGACGAGTTTACAAGAGAATAACAAGGTTGACGAGAATAACAAAGATGTCGTCTTCCTGACCGAGACCTGGCACGACGCTGACAAGGTTTGCATCGCGCATCTTCGCGCTTCGGTTGCGCTTCGGTTGCATGAGAGGCGCGCGTGGCCTCTCATGCAACCCAACGCCCTGGCGACGAATTACGGTGGAGAAGCTGCCATCGCCAGTGGGGGTGTGCACCTTGCCGTTCTTGACATCGGCGCTCGACCCACCCCTTTTGAGCTGCAATGTGCTAGGGTCACCTGCGCCTCGTTTACGGGCGTTGCAGTCACCGTCTATTGTCCTGGATCGGTTGCTGTGTCGCGCGATTTTTTCATTGAATTGAGCGCTGTCTTCCCCAGACTTGAGACTTTCCCCGATCATGTCCTTTTCACCGGCGATTTAAACATTCGACTGGATTGCTTCAACGACCCAGCGGCTCGTCAGCTGAACAATGATCTGGCCTCCTTTGGCATGGTTTGTCACGTGACCTTGTCGACGCACGACATGGACGGACTGCTGAATGTTGTCAACACGCGTGCTGACCTTCAAAGTATGCTAGTCGACATCATCGAGATCGCAATATCCATCGACAAACTTCAGTGGGCGGTGTCATATGTGCGTCCGATGCCAGCTTACAAAACCGCTACCAGGCGCTCGGGCGCGGTCTCTTTCGCGATGTCTTTTGCGAAAAACTGCAGTCGTCCCGACTATGTCGGCCTGACTCATGGTCGGTCCTTTCAGTCAACGACCTAATGCAACTCTACAATACCGAGCTGACCTGTGGGCTCGATGAACTCATTCCTACACGCACAGTTCGGGTACCACAACGACTCTCCGACCCATGGTTCGATGATGAATGTTGGGTCTCGAAGCGGGGGGTTCGACTGTCCAGCGGGCTGTGGCGAACAGACACGACAATCCTTTTGCTGCGGCTGCTGTGGCCTCCACCAAACTCATGGAAAGAGGTCATGCAGATGCTTCAGGTGGCGTAAGCGTGGAAAAATTCCATGCAGTTTTTGAAAATAATATTTCTGTTGTGCAAGCGTTGTAAGCCGACGCTCTGCCGGCAACATTTACGCCGTGTCCATTCGACTGCGTGCACCAATAATTCACTTGCGTCACAGCTAACGATGTCATCGAAGCAGTGCGCGCGCTGTCTAACAAGCAGTGTGCCAGTGATCAGCTGCCGACGTCATTACTTACGGGGAATGTCGTAACCCTAGCACCATTTCTTCATGGGTGAACTTTTCAACCGCTGCCTTACTGACAGTGTTGTTCCAATGAACTTCAAATCAGCTTACATTACGTCTCTAGTGAAAAAGTCAGACCAAATTATATCGACCCATCTCCAACCTGTCGATTTTGTCGAAACTCTTGGAACGCGTTGCGGCCCGAGAGCTGAACAACCATCTTCAGCAGTTCGGGCTCACGCCTCGCCTCCAGTCTGCATACCGTCATCTCTTCTTAACGGAACCGCTGTGCTGAAATGCTTTCACACATTCTGCAAGCAGTAGACCGCGGCCATATTACGTCACTGACTTTATTTGACCGGTGGGCAGGGCTTTTGACACGGTCGACCACGCCACTTTATAGCGCCGACTTGACGTATCATTCGGCCTGCTCGGCACAATGATGCGGTGGTTCGAGTCTTAGCAATAGATTTCAATGCGTTCGACCCGGGAACTCTTCTTGTTCACTATCGTTGGTCACATGCGGCATGCCGCATGTGACCAACCGATCGGACCGATCCTCGGACCGATCCTCTTCTTGTTATATACTGTCGACTTATTGCACATAATTAATTGACATAGTTTGAATCATTGACATAGTTTGAATCCGCTTATGTTCGTCGATGACACCTAAATTTATGGCTTCTGTGCACCTGCTGACGCTGAAGCGTTGCAGGACTGGATGTCTGTCCGCATGGACGCCGTCTCAGACTGGATGCGCTCCAACCGGTTATAGCTCAATGCATCAAAACCGACTTTATTTGATATGCAACTGCTCAGTGCTAGCATCAGCTTCCAGCCAACCCCGTTTCACGTGGGCAACGAGTTAGTCATGCCTGCGTCTTCGGTTCGCAACCTCGGACTCTGCTGGACAATCTGCTGGACTCTGAACTTTCCATGAACAAGCACAGAGCCTAAATCACCACCGCTGGTTTTGGCGCTCTGTAACGAATATTTAGCATCAGCCGCTATCTCTCGAAGCGTGTCCTCGAGGCCCTCGTGGTGGCGCTCGTTCTGATCCGATAGGACGATGGTAATGCCACACTCAATGGACTTCCGACCACGGCTCTTGATAAGCTTTTAAAGAAAAAAGTCCAGTCAAAGCTCTGATGTCGCACCTGCGCCGTGCTGAAGGCCCCGCCGTCCCTGAAGCGCGTGGTGTGACGTGACCGCCTCACGTAGTGGTAGCAGACCGCCTTCCACCAGATCACCGGGAGCGCTGTCACAAGACTTTCGACGAGCACGCCGACTTCGGCCGCTGGGGAACTACGCGACCACTGCGAGCAGATGAAGAATTAATTCTTTGGTTCGAACAATGAAAATGACTTCTGTGCACAGGTGAACAGTGAAAAAGCGATAAAAATGAGCGCAATTATTTCCCCATCCTGAATAATTTTCATCCTGGGAAAATATTGGAAGAAGAATACGAAAAAATTATATCCATTGGGTTTGAAATAACCATGAACTATCAAAGCAGTGAGTAAATTATATTAGCAACTGAGTTAATCTTTCGTCATTAATAGAAGTGAGATAGGTTCCCATAATCAAAGGAGATCAAATTTCAGGGCATCTCAATCAATGCAGTTGATTTTCCGTGACAGCTGTTTGTGTATGACACTGAGAATCCACAATGCATTGTAATGAGGTTCACATCGGCTTGAAGGTCAATCTGCCGTCAAATATACGTAAATACCACTGCATTGTCAGCAAAAGATATTCGACTGTACGTCAATTGCCAAATTGGTGTAAATTATGCCTTACATGTTTCTACTCGTGCAATATCTTTCCTTGATTTTATTTCTGCCTTACATTTTATTGTAAAGCTCACAGCACTCTACCCTCACCTTGTACCTGAGAGGACACAGGCAGCACTCTACCCTCGCCTTGTACCTGAGAGGACACAGGCAGCACTCTACCCTCACCTTGTACCTGAGAGGACACAGGCAGCACTCTACCCTCACCTTGTGCCTAAGAGGACACAGGCAGCACTCTACCAAGTAGATAACGTAGATGATTACGAGACAGGCGACTGCCACGTACCAACCGCCTTCGCCCGTCAAAGTTAAGTACAAGTCTAAACATTGGCTCCTCGACCGCTCCTGCGTGAAGGGATCCTCCAGATTAACGGTTACGATCTAAGCGGAAGAGCATACGGTGTAAAAGGCGGCAATTATTGAATAATAAGTATCAGATTAGGTATAATTGAAGAAGATTAACAAATTTGATAAATGTCACGTGATTAATCTTGAGTTCGCAGTACATGTTACAATCTGATAATGAACTTATGTATGAATTAAGATATTTTTGGGGCTAGTTAAAGCTTCTCTATTTTGTATTTTTTTCAGTTAAATTCGTCTACAAAGCAAAAATACAAGTTACAAATCAATTTGATAAGCAAAATGCCTTAAAGAAGGAGGCGATACAGGCGGCGGTAATACGTGCGTCCCACCTTAGAGACGCGGCACAGCGCGATGTAGGCGATGCAGGCGCCGATGAGAAGCGTGAGAACCAGACACCGGCACTGATTGCGGTGCACTAGTAGCGTCACTAGTGACGGTCGCTGCGGCCACTAGGGACATAAATGAGCTGTGATGCATTATTGTTATCACCAATTACAGTCGCTGCGACCACTAAGGATATAAATGAGCTGTGATGCATTGATATTATCACTAATGACGGTCGCTGCTACCGATAGATGGATGAACGTGGGATTCGAAATCAAAAATATTTTTGGCTGCAGGATAAAATTTAAAATAATTAGAAAACAACCTACATTTACGTTACAATATTATTACTCAAATGACTAAAAATTACTATAATCAGAAAATTCTGCTATGGTTAAAAATATTAATTTAAAGTATTTTTGGCTGTAGGATAAAATTTAAAATAATTAGAAAATAACCTACATTTACGTTACACTATTATTACTCAAATGACTAAAAATTATGATAATCAGAAAATTCTGCTATGGTTCAAAATATTCATTTAAAGTATTTTTGGCTGCAGGAAAAAATTTGAAATAATTTGAAAATACCCTACATTTATGTTACAATATTAATACTCAAATGACTAAAAATTAATATAATCAGAAAATTCTGCTATGGTTCAAAATATTCATTTAAAGTATTTTTGGCTGCAGGATAAAATTTACAATAATTAGAAAATAACCTACATTTACGTTACAATATTATTACTCAAATGACTAAAAATTACTATAATCAGAAAATTCTGCCATAGACATGAGAATGTCTTCGCTTATTGCTGTTATTTGAAGGCATTGCACGTTAGGACAGTTTGTCGGGGCGCGCCTCCGGCTTCCTGTCCATGTTTATTACGAACGAAATAGAGCGTCGTCCAAATTTTCAGCGATGCTGAAATTCAAAAGTTCGTGTCGCCAGCCCTGAGGACCTGACCTAAATTTGTGGTCCAAGCTGAGCATAAACATACTTTAGCAAAGCGAAGTTTTATGAGTCGAGTTTCGAACGAAATTTGTCCTGATGTAGAGCAGGAAAAAAATTTATTTATTTAAATTAAATTTAAATTAAATTTAAATTTATTTATTAAGAAATTTAGAGCCATGTTTCATCACGACGCTTCATTGCTTGCAAGGTCCTATGCTGTGTGAGCTAACTGATCACAATCTAATGAAAGATTTAAAATACGCCTACTCAGAATTTCTTGCTCATTATAAAATGCGGTGGGCAAGGTCAAAATTATAGTGAGTAAATCGTAAAGGTTTTGCCAATACGATCCGCAAACATTTCTGATTAAGATTTACTGATCCACACTCGGGTAAATGAGGTTCATTTATCGTGTCACTGGAATGCAACAGGTGCAACTGGAATGCAAGATTTCAACAAGACCGTCCATGCATATATTATATTACTACGAATTATATTATATTACGGTTTCGTAAAGCAAAACAGATTTCCACACGAATATTTTCGTCTCTGAAAAGAAATATGTTGGAGGATTGCTTTTTACAACAAAAATATACATGTGTAAATATTTAGAAACGTGTGAATGAAGAAAATTTTCATGGCTCAACCTTGATTTGTCTATATTCTCTAATATATTTCTCACGAGTACCTGAAAATAATTTTAATAACCCACAAACATACGTACATCACCATCAAAATCAAAGTGTTCACCTTATTTACCATGCACTAATTTCGTTCAAGATAATACAATTTCTAGTAACTTTTCTCCTTAAAATTACATGGAACAAATTAATAATTGACTCGATACAGCTGGACTGACTCACCAGCTGGGCGTCAGCTGGGTCTGGAGGAAGGATATTTGGTCTAATCCGACGCATGGGGTCTGATTTACGGACGATGTAGTCCGTCGCCTGCACTCAACCGTCACTCAGACCGTCCCTTCTCAGAGACGAGTCCCTCGCATCCTGCCAGTGGGTTCCTGCAGGATGGGGTCCATAACGACTGCAGTAGTCGACAACCCGCCTATATAGACGCCACCAACAAGCGAACGCGATCACTCATTCGCACACTGACGATGCGGAGGCGTGTAACTGATCGTTCCCCTACTGACATCGTCCTTTAGTTAGCATTGTTCTCACTATCATATAACTATCACGTTGTTCATTTAGTTGAATTCATCTTATTATTATATCACAATCAAGTTGATCCTGCAGTTTATTCTGCAGGTTTATGTTAAAACAATATTCAAATACGTCGATCCTTTAGTTAAGTCCATCTAACTATGTTATCACAATCACGTTGATTCTTCAGTTGTGATCATCTTACAACAATAATAACAATGCCGTTGATCTTTCATTTGAGTTAATCTTACTATAATATCACAATCACGTTGATTCATTAGTCAAGTTCAGTCTTAGCGACATGTCCTTGAGAGCACCATGGCCCCCAATCCCCACACCGCTTGACCCATCTTCATGTTCACATTACGGGTCATGATAACAGCGCAAGCTTGTCATTTGATGGTAACATAAAAACTTCAGTTGATTTATAATATAAATTTCATTCTTCTTCTGCAAAGGAATCAGAAAAGTATGTTTAATATTAAACTATTTAACCTTATTAAACTATTGCTAGAACGCGAAAAATCTCGTTTAATATAAGCGGTAGAATTCAATTTTTTATTTATTTGAGGTGTCGGTAGGAAATTTCCTTTCCCCTCCCCACGTTCGTCAGCGTTCTAATTATTGAACTGTTTAGTTATATTCATAAGTAATATTGAGGTAAAATTAAGATCAGTTTAGGGTAAATTCACTACAGGATTTTGGAAGGGTGGAACTTCAAGCCGGTCCATAATATGTAGGATCGAGAGTTCACACAGACAAACGATGATGGTCAGAGCTGCTCCAGTGACAGAACCAATACAGGGATTATTGACGTCGTCTTGGTTTTCATCATCATCGTTCACAACCAATTCATAAGTACAATTTTCAAATATCTTCTCTGGAAATTCGCTTTATCTTCACTTTGTTGCGTCGTATAACAGTTTCTCTCGTTTTGTTAAGTTGGAAATTGCTATGCTTCTTCTGTTGGATGCTTCAGATATAAATATATAGAGTATATATAAACAGTAACTTGATACCTTTACCTTCTATAAAAAATCGTCGACTTTACTTTACAATTATTGTCGGAAATGTTCATCTTATTTCAATATACCTTCCCTGCCATAAGTGCGTAAATGCACTGCATGGTGCCTACAGTAAATTCGGGTGTGTAATGGTTCAAATGTAATTCATGTTGCACAATGTAACACTCGAACATAGTGTAATGGTTCAAGTGTTTTTTAAATATAGTAAATTAAATGGCCATCTTCTTTCTTTTAGTTTTGCAGTTGGTTGTTCTTTCCCCATTTATTCCTCCCAGCAATATTTTATCGCAGTATCATCCGAAATTTGACCTTGCAGTTGTACGTTCAACGACAACTGTTCTTTGGTGCCGGCCCTAACAGAATATAAGATATGTTTTAGACTATGCGACAGACTCGTATATAGTTGTGTTTAAGGTTATTATGAAAACGATTTTTTTACATGTAATAACTCGCGGGTTCCATTTGCATTGATGAACTCTTTTAGTGATGTTTGCTTAGATTATTATTTCGACCTTCTAACTACATTATATGGAATTATTCATATTCATCCGAAGATAAAGAGAGGCTGCAACAGAGTTAAAGTAAGATCTAAGATTGTGATGTGCACTTATAATAGGCATTTATTTTATAAAATTATTGTTAGTGGTTATATAGGACCAACCGCCTGCCTAAATTAATGAACGATGCTGGAATTGTGCTGTTAATTGACTGGAAAATATAAGCAGATAAAGCAGAGAGATGCGACCGGAAGTATAAGATCCATTCTCTGTGCCTTTTATTACGCTAGAAAAATATAAGATTGTTCCTTTTTCGAGACAAATCTATACCCACTCATTAATACGTCGTTCTGATGTATCAAGTCCAAACTGTGATCCATTCGAACAGAAGCTAATAACGATACCTGCCTATAAGCTGCTTTGACGCCGAGCAGCACTGAATTTGATTATGTAAGTGAATAGTTTTACATATACGTCACATTTACGTCAAATGTACGTCTCATGTACGCCACATTTACGTCGCTTGTACATCAAATTTATTCAAATGAACTTCACTGCAAATGTACGTGAATTTTAAATCAAATGATATATACGTACGTCCCATGTACAATTTGTACATCACAGTATTGGGATCATCACAGGATCAAAACTGTATTTTAATTTTATTACGTAATGTAATGCGCATGTGACGTGCATTTGATATAAGAGTCACACACATTTGTAGTTCATAGAGATGTGTCTCATATATACCGGTTACTTGACCAGCACGCAAGGAGATGAGACGTTTTGAAGTTAGGATTAATAAATTTTTAGTCGCATTTTGACCTCTCGCAAGGCTACATTAAAAATGAAGTCTTTCACTGTCCTGAATTGAACATGTTAATGGTGTCTGCTCCGTAACGTATACTAAACGTTCGTTCAATAGTCATGACCGAACATTTACATAACATTAAAATATTTTCCGTTGTTCCATAGTTATTTTTTCAACTTATCCTTTTTTGAAGACAGTAAACGAAATAGTGTTAGTACGAATACAATTATTGGCATAATTGCTTCCGTACCTAATATGTTAGTTGCGAATTAGCAAATCAGTGATTTGACAACGGTAATAAAGCAGACAAAAAAGATTGGTGCGGTAAAAATGAAATATTTTTAAATGGAATTGTAAAGAATATAGATCTTTGTTCGGGGTATTGTTCAGAATGAAAACTCGTTGTGGATTGTAACGCTTTCTGAAAACAAAGAATGAACAATTTGAACACAAAGTTGAGATTATTCGAAATTATAAACAATATAGAGAAAATAATCGAGGTTAACAAGCAATAAAATGATCACAACATAAGGAAATGATATTCTACCAAATTGCTGAACAATCTAAGGCAAGTTTGGTTGAAACTGAATTTAGCCTGAGCTCATCAACTCTGGTCCTACCTAAAAGGTCCCAACCTTATGTACACGGGAGAAGTATCTTCAGTAGAATATTCTTTACAGGAATATTTGCTTATCATATTCTGTAGTGGGAAGAAAATGTATACTGGAATTAAAAGGTACTTTAGCGGTAGAAAAATATCTAGATATTCAATTATAATAATAATAATAATAATAATAATAATAATAATAATAATAACGGTTTCAGCGTTATTAGGCCGTAGGCCTGTCGCCGATTCTTAACATCGCAGAACATTCACAGCATTTTGCGGTCTCGAACTCTCAACTCACTGCTGCAATTCTGCTATGCTTAACCGCCCGGCCTCCTCGCCGATTCTGACCAGAAACTGGCGCACAGAGCTGGGATCGAACCCGCGCCTCTCTGCGCCAATCTTGGTACTCTGAACGTTAACCACTGGGCCACATTGCTAATGGCCAAATCTCTCAACTAAGTTCAGAATTTGATTCAATATTGATGATTTGATAATGATTTGAGCGGTATCGCATAAAATGAAGCAATGGACAAGATGTTAACATATCTGCAGTCTCAGCCTAGTAATCTGTTAAAGTTTATCCATTAAAATTTATTACCGAGAGGTCCAATTCATGAGGTATCAGCTCCTGTATATGTGTGTACGTCTATTATATGGCATGCTCTCCGAATCTCGCGGTAATCGAACGAGGCGATTAATGAAAGTTATGAATCACAAACGTTTGTTTGTGTAATCATTTGTTGCCCATGTATCATGATACCCGAATGCTGACCTCTCAGAGGTCTAATCGCCGGCGCTGTCTGATGCCAAATGAGCGTTCGACGAAAATACGGAACCCTTAGGTTTCGAGGCCTCATTTTTTACAACATCAATAGTAAGTTTCTTCCCCGGCAGCACTCAAATTGCTCTCTGGGGTCGCTGACCGGGACCGGCAAGAGTCAAATAACGGCGTTTCTCCTCCCGAGAATAACACATTGCTCTTGCCAAGTTGCATTAATATTGCAATGCCATGAGCCGTCACCTCATGAACTCTAAATCTAGCTAAAATAAATTGCAATGCCACGTGGCATCACCTCATGAACGTCTGAATCGGTTGAAAATTAAATTTCTTGCTCGTGCCTTCGGGAATTTTCATTGATGAATTCACTTTGACTCGTATGAAGGCAGATAAAGAAGAATGCTAGTACAGAATATCTGCAAAAAAAATCTGAATCATTGAAAATTTTTCGATAGCGGTCGAGAACTATTCATATCACTCCTGCAGGGACATCAACTGTCCTCGTCTTTGTCATTCGCAGATGTTTTTTAAACAATCATGGAAATTTACCCTCGGTGCTCCTATAATAGTCGTTTTCAAAAAACTTTCTGCAGATGAAAATTTTTTGTTTTCCCAAGCTAACAATGCGGTATTGATCTCCCTCTCTGGCAGTCGGCCCGCTGTTTGGCCAGGCGGGCAATAGACCCTGCAGCCCCGTGGGCCCATCCTGTTGGCCAGGCGAGCAATAAACCCTGCAGCAGCGTGGGCCCATCCTGTTGGCCAGGCGAGCAATGAACCCTGCAGCCCCGTGGGCCCATCCTATTAGCCAGGCATGCAATAGACCCTGCAGGGCTGCAGCCCCGTGGGCCCATCCTGTTGGCCAGGAGGGCAATAAACCCTGCAGCAGCGTGGGCTCATCCTGTTGGTCAGCAGCGTGGGCCATGGCGTCCACGAAGAGGCACGACAGCAGGGAATTTGAGCTACGAACTCAGAGGCCTTGCGTGTGCAGTTTATGGGTTCGCAGATGATTTACGATTGCGTGATTCGTCGAGAGAGCTACTCCCTTTTGGTTGCTGCTCTCATTTAACTGCCGCTTGACTGCTGCTTAGTGTTGAATGCTGCTATAAATATCGATATAGCTAGCAAATCTTATATAGCTAATGAACATCACACATTTAGCTTTGAGTGCAGCCAGTTTGCGTTAA